TATATATATATATATATGCCTCAAATTATATTATATATTCTCATATCAATGCATTAAGATAATTATTTACCCTTAATTTTGATTCAGTTGATTTAATGGCTATCATTTTGCTTATTCTTAATTTTAAGAATAAAAATCAAGAATTGTTATGTATACATTACAGGTTAGTGTTAGCAACATTCAAGAATCACGTTCGTATCCTGAATATTTCTATTTATAAATTTTCTCTATTCTTAACCAACATTCATTTTCCGTAAACTTAACATATCCTGTTTCGTATCTTTGCTCTATAAATACAACGTTAGAAAATAAAAATTAGAACTATATTGAAACCTCACGGTTCAAGGCTCTCCCCATTTCACTTCCAAACCGTAAAATTCAGAATTTTAGAGATATCGTTTTGTCTACATACATTATTTTCTAGTACACTATCAGGAGACAGATACATATTAGTATGGAAGAGATTTCGCGCGCTATATTTCGAGATTCCATTGTAGAAGAAAAATTCAGTCATAAAAAGAATTAATAATAATTAATAAAAGAATTAACAAAGATTTACATATATATGCATACAATATTATGGTCCTCATAAATATAACATCATTTATACAATCAGGAAGAAATATTTTATAGGGAAATAAAAAAAAAGTAAATCCACACACACACATATATGTTAAACATTAATCAAAAATTATTTATTAATATTAATATTAATAGAAAAAACTGAAAAGATCATAGAATTAATTTAAAAAAAGAATCTATAAATTTACAGTTCTGTACTTAACAAACTTTTCAATTCAAAAGTAATAAATATATTTTTATGTGATTACCATTAATTTCACTATGAATTATCTCTATAAAAATGATTAACACAAAGTTTCTCACATAAAAATATTTCATTTAAACATGAAGAAATCATTCCAGGAAGGCAAATTATTACAATCATACTATCTAAATATAAATTTTTTAGCAATTTCAAATCGCAGTCATTTATAGATCACTAAGATCCACAGCTTCAATCTGTGTATTAAGAGTGGCGACATTTTCTTTGCTTTCAGAAATTTCCGGCTTTACTTCTCTAGGAATATCTAATTTCGACCATGAACCAGGTTCAGCTTTTTTTAATTTGATTTCTACTTTGGTTGGCAGCATATTTACACTACTTTGCTCAACATCCACAATCTAAAAATAAAATGTGTCCATATATTCCATAAATATACTTCTTAGTTTTACTAAAACCATTTAAATATTTAAAATATTAAAACATTAGTACATACTCCTCTCAATTCTATATCAAGATTATATCTTGAGTTTTCTTCTATAAAGAATAAATCTACAGTCAGATGAATAGGATTTAATTTTATGACAGACTGATTAGGCAGATATTTCTTCGCATAAATAGAAACAACTACATATGATCCAGTTTGATGCCAATCCATTCTACATTGAGCCTTTTTTCCTGTATTCTGAAAAAAGCAGATGCAAAATATTAATGATCAAAAATATTAATTATTCAATTCATCTATGTGAGAGAGAGAATTACCTTGGAAAACCATACATGTTTGCCTTGCGTGCAACCAGGTTGATCCAAAAATACAGAAAATTCTGTTGTCTTCTTTTGACAGCAGGACCAATATTTCAATCCTTCGTGAAATATAGGTACTCCCGGATGATAATGACAAGTTTCTTCATCGGAAGAAACCCCCATATAAGACCCTTTACATGAATTGTTTTTACAATTTTGTCCTATTTGTATTTTGCTCTCTATTGGTTTGTCAACCTCTGTAGCTGTCAATCCTTTAATCTGTTCCAGCAGAATGGGAGATATCGTTGGCGACAGTATAAATTGAGCAGTGTCAAAGGCAGGTCTTTTTAAAGATATTCCATTGTGCACAGGCTTAGAAATAACTTCTATCACTTCGTCAATCTTGCTTTTATCAATAGATGATTTTTCTGGTTCCGGTGGTTTTTCATTCGAGTGTTTTGATTTCGTGCAACCTTTGATATTCAAAAACTCTGTAAAGTCTGTACACTTTTTGTTGCAGCAGGACCATCCCTTATAAGCATCGTGAAACACTGGATATCCACAATGATAAACGCAATCATCTGCAAAAAAAGATGAGTTTCTTTTACATATATTATTAGTTTTTTAATTTGTGATAAATAATTAATAATTAGAATTTTTAAAAGTGACATAACTTACCATCCTTATTATCATTTGGATCGAATTTCTTTCCACAACCGCGATGATAACAAAGCAACAAATTTGTTTCCTGTGACATTTCTATTTCGCAATCAGTTTATCTTATCCAGTTTTGGAACAACACTTTGATATAAAATATCGTATATATGTACGCGAGAAATGTTTTCTTTCACAATACTTTTCCCTAAAGTTTCGTCAAAGTTCTTGAACGTTCCATCAGCTTCCGAATTTCGATATCACTATCAGAAATATCAGGTTTGTTCTCTATAGCTGAACTGGAATAGAATAAAATGAGATAGATATGTAATTAAAAATTGAATAGAAATAAAGAAAACAAAGCAAAAAGTGCAAAAAATTACAAAGAGAGAACAAACCTCTTGAATGTATTTTTTTCAAATAATAATAATGAATACCTTTAACCTAACTATATGGTTATTTCTCGAACTTGCTCGAATCTATTATTCTTCGTCATAAGCAAGATAATATCGAGATTGGGGAAGAATGGAGGGATTGGTTGCAACTGGACAAAACTCATCTTCGGCTGCGGTCGAGAAGACGCTAGAAATGCTTCGAAGCGTTTGATTGACCAATCAGGACACAAAGAATAAAGATTTCTTTATTCTGATTGGTCAATGCAACGCTTCGAAGCATTTCTAGCGTCTCCCCGACCGCAGCCTTCGTCTACTCGAAAGCTCGCGTCGCGCCCTCTGTACGCATATATTGTAATATCGTTCGTGACGTCACGTATTTATCGAACCGCGAGCGTTCCTAACGGCGTTTCCCGGAAACACACGCTCATTCGATAGCTTCGATAAGACGATCGTCGTTTGTCTGGCGCACGACGGCTCTTTCGAAGCAATATGGCGAAGTGTGTCACGGTGGGCTCGGCGTAGACGACGTTAGCGTGACGCTCGAAAGATGACAAGTCCGCGGTATGGGTTGATAATAATGTAGCGACGACACGTGCGAATCGCGCGAGGATCGACGTAATCACGTGGCGACGATTAATAACTGCGCCCCAACCTGGTTCTCCCCTCGTGATCGTGCGTGTGTGAAAAAAAAAAAAAAAGAAAAAGAAATAAAAAACGAAGAGAAGTGCGCGCGTTAACCGGTGTTCCAAGAAATCATGGCTACGGATAAGATAAGGGTCGCCGTACGGGTACGGCCGTTCAATCGCAGAGGTAAACGTTATTTATTTCAACCCCCCACGTTTTCGTTATCGTTTGACAATGGCCCGCTTGGCCGGCCCCTCTCCCCGCCTCACTTCACCTCCTCGCGCCACGCGTTGGCACCCCGGGAATCGAAGAGCACCCGGAGGTGTTCCGCGGAAAAAAAATGCAAGGGTTGACCTTCGATCGACTCTGGATATCGCTCGAACGATACCCAGGCTGTGTGAACAGAGATCTTTTTGCATCGGCCCGCGTATTATATACGTGCCCGTTGCCTCGCTTTATCGTTTTTATCAAACGTTTCGCCGCGAGAGCGATCAGCCCCGCGATCGACGATGACGCATTCTCCATTCAGAAGTGTCATCGTCATGAGGCGAGATTATTATTATTATTATTATTATTATTATTATTATTATTATTGTTGCCGAGTCGTCAAAATTTCTTTACGAGATTTCAGGTCGGGGCATCGCGCGTTGCTTCGAGATGCTCTGTCCTTTAAACCGCGTTTTACTCTGTTGCTTGCTAGACACAATGAAAGGACATTTACATCTTATCATATGTAAATGCAGAGGATGACGTTTCTTTAGCGAGCGCCAGACCTGACTCCGCTCGCGCGCAAAAAATAATATTAGATATTAAATAATATTAAACGTCGCTTTTATATCGGAGTAACGGACCTTGAGGCTTGAAAAGCGTGAATTAATCGAATCAAGAGCTTTCACAGACGCAAAACCGTCAACGCGTATAAATCTTATTAGCATGATACGTATAATGAGGACGCGAAAGTGTAAAAATCTCGGAAAATTTGATTCGACCAAAGTGATGGGAGCGCGGGAGTGTAAACGAATAAAACGCCACCGTTCCGATGACATTAGTCCGATGACCTTGGAATATCGATCCAATCGGGAAAACGTGAATCGACGGGGAATCTTCGATCGAGGTTTCACTCTTCTCTAAGGCTAAACATTGAAACACGTGTATCATTGCTCGCTTATAATTGGACGGATAATTCGAATTGTCATTAGGATCCCTATCGCTTATAAAATATCTCTCTTTATCATATCGAATAGAATGCTATTTAAATTACACACATTGTACATCGCGTGTATCAAGATGTGTATCGCTTTTCCAAATTTTTCGAAATTTACATTCGGAATAAAATAATAGTAAAACGTAGCATTGTTATCACGCGATCTTGTACACTAAGCACATATCTAGTCAGGCATACATCATACAGGGTGTTCTTAAAATGACTATTTTTTTTTTGGCGAAATTAGAGGTGTTTAAAAAAATTGTTATACGCTGGCATGATGATATACATGTCTATTATTGTGCAAATATTAATATATATATATATATATTTTTTAGAAAGATAAGGAGACAGATGTTTTTTATAATTCCTCTATTATTTTGCAAAATAGATAGTCACTTTAGGAACACCCTGTATGTATGTATAACATTTGCATGCGCGTACGCATTAAGTATTTTTAGCGCTGATTTTAACCGAGATTTGTAAGAATATATCACAAGGTACAATTGCATGGGGATAATTATTTTACGAACGATATAAGATTGTGTAATTTTTTTCTCTCTCCTAGTATGTTAATCGTCAAACTTTCGCGCTTGTAAGATTTAATTTACACGATGCAACGTAGGCTGATATGGAATACTCGTTATTTAACAGTTTGCGTTACCCAATACTTTCTGTCGTCATTTAATAAACTAGAAGTTACTTTTCGACTTTTCACAAAGCTTCTTCTTTGTAACATATGATATTGTTGATGTGTATATTATTATAAATTAAAATTACATAAATAATTATATTTACTTAATT